TAGGGGTGTACTAAATGTTATGGTCTCTTTTAGTACATTAAAAGGTATAAAAAAAAACATTTTACAAAATTTAAAGTGTTTCGTATTCGTTCTAAGCTTAATGTTAATTTTTTGGCCAAAAAATGTGTATGTTTTGTATAAAAAGGTGGCTTGATATTTCAAAAGTGTATCCCTTACATAGGTGATACTTTAAAAAGGAAAAACATTAATATAATATGTCACATGATATAACGTATTTATGACGTTGGTGCGTGAAACAGACTGGTAGTCTTATAATTTGAAAGAGAAGTCCGTTTGAGTATTTTGTATCTTTATTTATTGGGAAGGCCGTCTTACATTCAAAAGTTTTCAATTTCTATATTATTTCGATCTGCATAATGTTATATACTTTATTTCAAAGGTTTAAATATAGACACTGATCAACATTTACAAGTTTTGTTATAAAGAATTTTTTCAACAGATTACGCAATTTTGTATTTTGTATTAAAGTCACGATTTCTTTTGTAGGTAAAAGGTCACGGTCTTTATTGTAAAGCCTATCGTATTTCAGGTTAACGAAATTGTCATTTTGAAATGCGATTTTTCACGACCAGATGATAATATAGATGTAAAAAAACAGTGTGATAATGAATTATCATAAAATGTGCAAGTCATCGAAAAGGGTTTGCGCTGTGAATGAAACAATTTTCATGTATTTCAAAATATCAAAAACAAGAACTGTCGGAGGACAGTAATGCTCGACTATTCGAAAAATTGTCACAAGTGTGTTTCATTGAGTATAATAATGCTTACCTATATGAATACATAAAATTGTCCGAAAAGGTACAAAGGCTTGTTATTAAGATATTTTATCGAGTTAATCACTGCTGTATAATAATGAATGCATAAAATTGTTAAAAAAAAGGCACAAACCCTTCAGTAGTTATGGAGATATTTGCTTAACCAAGAATTTCTAAGTAGAAAAAGGGGCATAATTATGCAAAAAAGCAAACAGAGTTATTGGTCTTGTGTCATTCATGTTAGATAATCACAGAGAACAAGTGTGTGAAGTTTCAATCCATTCCCTTCGGTAGTTATGGAGATACCAGCTTGCACGCAAAAACTTAACCAAGAATTTCTAAGTCAAAAAAAGGGCATAATTATGCAAAAAAGCAAATCAGAGTTATAGGACTTATTTCAATCATGATAGATAATCACAGAGAACAAGCATGTGAAGTTTCAATCCGACCCTTCAGTAGTTATGGAGATACCAGCTTGCACGCAAAAACTTAACCAAGAATTTCTAAGTCGAAAAAGGGGCATTATTATGCGAAAAAGCAAATCAGAGTTATGGGACTTGTGCCAATCATGTTAGATAATCACAGAGAACAAGAAAGTGAAGTTTCAATCCATACCCTTCAGTAGTTATGGAGATACCAGCTTGCACGCAAAAACTTAACCAAGACTTTCTAAGTCGAAAAGGGGGCATAATTATGTAAAAAAGCAAATCAGGGTTATGGGACTTGTGTCAATCATGTTAGATAATCACAGAGAACAAGAAAGTGAAGTTTTAATCCATACTCTTCAGTAGTTATGGAGATACCAGCTTGCACGCAAAAACTTAACCAAGAATTTCTAAGTCGAAAAGGGGGCATTATTATGCAAAAAAGCAAATCAGAGTTATGGGACTTGTGTCAATCATGTTAGATAATCACAGAGAACAAGTGTGTGAAGTGTCAATCCATTCCCTTCAGTAGTTATGGAGATACCAGCTTGCACGCAAAAACTTAACCACAGGGACGCCGACACCGACACCGACGCCGACGCCGACAAATGGGTGACTGCATTAGCTCGATTATTCTGCGAAAAGACGAGCCAAAAATATATGTCCTTAGTAGCGCCATAGATGTCCGAAAGACTGATCTGCATGTTATAATAATTTCCTTTTGATTGTCGTATGCTAATTGTGTTCTTCAATAGATAATAAGGCAATAATAAAAGAATATCAAGGGCATCAGTTTGTTTTTCATTGTTGTTTCTTTATTATATTATATGTATTTTTTCAACACGGTTCTCTGGTTATATTTTTGAAAAAAGTAGGCCTGCTGCATTCATACGCCAATACAAGAAAGTGCATAACGATGAAATTTATTGTTGAAAATATAACGTACCTGTGCTTATTTTGGCTGTGATTTGATCTTTGACAAACAGAACGGTGTTAGACTGGTCTAACTGATCTTTAAACGTGGTTATAATCTTTTCAGGAGTTAATTCTACCTCCTGCAATATCAAAAATAGTTCGTGAAAAAAAACACTGAGATCTAAAGACTTCAAAATGCTGATTAATTGAAAATAACTGGATATGAAACTAGTAGATGAAGTCCTATTTTGCAAAATCTATGCAAAGCTTCGCCTGATTTGTGAACATGATGAAACCTCCACAGAGCGGGCCACTTATAGCGCAATAACCTCTTAACAACAACAGTTTCGTTTTTTTTTCTTCTAAAACTGAGACTTCATAAGATTTGACCTCTCTAGAGAGACACCTCAATATCTCTGCATTAATCAAAATGCGTGTCTCTCCTGCAGAAGTTGTGCTCTTAAAATTTTATTTCTTAAACTTCTAAAAATCTCTTGTTTTAGAATTTACTTCGTTTTTTAGCAATAGCTTTAACACCACTGTGAATACATATGAATAGGGTCTTTCGGATTCTAGTCACTGATATTCAATGACTGTTTTAGTAGTATTTAGGAGTATTCTTATGAAATAAATATAAAATGTGAGATCCTCCCTTACCGTACGTTTAATGCATTGTTTTGTTTTCTTTTAATAACCAAAGGCTTTCTGCTTTTTATAAAATTAGCTGCTTCTATCAGCACGCAGTAAAAATATAAAGTTTTAAATTTAATTTGACAACAAAAGCAACAACAATATCAACAACAAAAACATTTTCCTGTGGCGCTTTTTATTTTGATTTAATTAAGCTAAATTTTTGTATGAATAATCTCCGTCCAGAAGTATCTACATAATTATGATTGCAAAAATATATGTACATTCTTTCATAAGAAGTATTCTCATACAAGTCTCAGAAAATATATAACTTGAATAAATATTAAGGTAATATCACTTACAACATTGTTCTCCACTACTGTTTTCTTCGCAAATTTTAACCTCGTTAAAACAACAATGCTACCTTGACTGAAACAGTGGTATTATAATTTCAGAATAATACAGTGTACTTTTTAAATAACTTTTAATCGGAAATTATTAAAATACTTTTGATTTATGAAGGTGAACTTCAAACAAACAGCCGGTTAAAATATATTTTTGAAAAAGTCCATCAACTTGATTATGAGAATGAATCCAATGGCATATTATTCTTTTTCAAACAGTACATGGATTTCAAAATCAAATTTCATCAGAAGAAATGATTGCAACTTTTCGGCCATTTCTGGCATATTTCTGTTCCGCATGTCACCAGTTATTAATCCCACAAAGGAAGTCGTTATTACCATTAAAGTCTAACAAGTCTGACATATTTTAAAAGCCAAACAAAATAGTATAAAATATCACATAATTATGTAATCAATTATAATCGTATTTTCAATTTTGTAAGTGTCTTTATTTTGAAGTTTGCATTATTTTTTTTTCGTACGAAATTAATATAATTTACCTGAATCCTAAAACCTCAGCCTCAGAATAACTGTCACCTTGTGGACTGTTTTTCATATTCTGATCAATCTATGAAAAAGAAGAAAAAGAAATCTGATACAAATGTATATCTAAGACTAGTGTTAAAACACTTGAATGTCAGAAAATTTTAATAAAAATTAACATTTAAACAATAATATAAACAAACAAATACAAAGCACATTTGTGTATATTTTCTTGTGTAACATTTTGTTTACCTTGTCACGTGGAATTTTGTTTACCTTGTCACATGGCATTTTATTTTTCATGTCACATGGCATTTGTTTACCTTGCCACAAGGCATTTTGTTTACCTTGTCACATGGTATTTTGTTTACCTTGTCACATAGCATTTTGTTTACATTGTCACATGGCATTTTGTTTACTTTGTCAAGTGGAATTTTGTTTACTTTGTCACATGGCATTTTGTTTGCCTTGTCACATGGCATTTTGTTAACCTCGTCAGATGGCATTTTGTTTACCTTGTCTCATAGCATTTTGTTTACCTTGTCACATAGCATTTTGTTTAACTTGTCACATGACATTTTGTTTACCTCGTCACATGGCATTTTGTTTGTCTTGTCACATGGCATTTTGTTTACCTTGTCACATGGCAATTTGTTTACATCGTCAAGTGACATTTTGTTTACTTCATCACATGGCATTTTGTTTACCTTGTCACATGGCATTTTGTTTACCTTATAAATTCGTATGATTATTTACCGTTCCATATTACATTTTATCTAACAATTGACATGATATTTATGTTTATCTTTTGATATGATATTTTGTTCTTAGCTTTTAACTTATGATATGTTGTTAACCTTGTGGCATAATATTTTGTTCAACAAGTGACATGATATTAAGATTTTTCGTTAACCTTGTGGCATGACATTTGTTTACTTTGCGACACAATTTTTTCTTAGTGACATGATACTTTGTTTACTTTATGACATGTTATTTTGTTTAACCTGCGACATGAAATTAAGTTGACCTTGTGACATGATATTATGTTTACCCGATGACATGATATTTTGCTTACCTTGTGTACATGATGGTACATAATTTATGTATAAACGGTAAGAGGGTTTTTATATCAATCTTAAAATCCTTGTATGATTGTGGCCAATTAAATAAAAAAGTATTTCTTTTAAATTGTTTGATACTAAAATATTTGCTCAGTGACTATATTGGGCTGAAATTTGGGGAATGGGTAAATTTGAAGAGCTTACAATATTATGCATGTAAACGCTTTATGTGTTGTAAACAAAATGCATCCAATGTAGCTGTATAAGGCGACTGTGGGAGGTATCTCCTGTATAAAGTATCCATTAAGAGGTGTTTTAACTATTGGTAACAATTATTAAATTATTAAAATGCCAAATAATAGATCAGTTAAAAATGTGTTATCAAATAATGTTTAACGATGATATACAGGGACATGACAATTGGGTTACATCTTTAAGAAAAATTTATAAAGTCGTGGTTTTGGATATGTATGGGAAAGTCAATAAGTTACATCAGAAAACTACTTTATAGCACAATTTGTAAAAAGGTTAAAAGATATAATTCAACAAGAATTGCATTCATCTGTAACTTCCTATGCAAAATTATCATTTTATGTCATGTTTAAGGAAAATTTCTCATATAAATGTTACTAAGATGTTTTAGACATTAGAAAATTTATTGAACCATATTTGTAATGCTACAAGAGTCAATGTACATTTTTATCTTACAGTATTTCATGGTATATTTTGTCTTATGACACTTTTGAATAGAAAGTTTAATTGAGTTTCGGATGTATGGTTTTGTCATTTCGGTAAGGCACGGGCGCCTTTATCTTTCTATTTATAGATTACCTTCTCCTTGACCTCAGTCTCAAGGTCTTTATAAGTTTGAGAATCAGGGTTGTACAGGTCCGTGTCAAAAGTCCGATCTATCGTCAACGACATATCCACAGACAACGCTGAAATATATAACAAAAACGTAGTCCTTACGTGACTAATAAGACATTACATATACTAGTATAAGAAATAAAATAAATGATAAGAACATGGCTAAAATGGTTCAGACTGGTGACAAACTATAATTATTATGGTCACTCTTTATGAAACTGACCTTTATTAACAAGTCTCATATTTTAAAATACTAAAGTAAACCAATTTTTTTAGAATGACTCTTCTTATCCGAAAGGTTACGAAACCTCACATTTAGCCAAAAGCTACCTAAACCTCTACTCGCTTTTAAAGACTAACTACACTACACCCCTCACTTTTTTAAAGGCTTGCACAACCTCTCACCTAGCCACTAGCTTAAACGTCCCCCTTTTAGTCAAACGTTAACAAAACCTCTCACTTGGCCAATAGCTTACACATCCCCCATTTAGTCAAACTCTTACAAAACCTCTCACTTTGTCAAAAACATAAACAATTATTTCTAACTTAGTTAAAAGCTTACAAAACCTTTTTATTAGTCAAACAACTAACGTAACCTCACACCGAGGCAAAAGCTTATGACATCTCTCCCTTAGCCATGGCTTTCAAAATGTCTCAGTCAACAGCGTTCCAAACCTCTTACATCCAAAAGCTTATCAAAACGCTCACTTAGCAAGAGGCTTGCCAAACATTTCAAGACAGAGAGTTTGGCCTGTCCCACCGAATGTCGCATTTGTACACATATTAACTGGTTACTTGATTCTTTACAAGTTAAAGGGGCACATTAAGCCTCAGAAACTAGTAATTTATAGAGCATATTAGACGCTTGTCATTTAACAAAAGATTCGCTGATTGTGAAATTGTTTGTCAAAACAGAAGTAAAATTGAAACAAAATAGTAATTTGACTTCAATCCAAAATACCAAATCAGATGGTTCGGGTAAATGGCCAAATGATTTTTTTTTTCGGAATCTAAAAACAGTACAACACAATAAAAAGTTTTTGTGAAATAAAGATAAAAGCATTACTGAGGCATAATGAACGTGTAACAATTTTATTAACGATGATAAGATGATAAATGACTGACCTGGCGCCGGCGCTACAGTCGTCGTGGTTATATCCGGGTCTCGTAAGGACTCTGGTTTATCTACAACTGTAACAAAAATAATATATCATATAACGCCCAACTACCACAGGATAAAGCAGTACTCATTATATGAATACAAATTATATGAATACACAAATTATATGAATACGCATTAAATGAATATGAAAAAAGTTGAAATTTTAAATTTAGAAAAATCCACTATCAAATGAGTTGTTACGGTGGAGATCATGGAGCCTTTAATGCGGCACTTTAGTGCCACTCCAAGTTGTGTGTGGTCTACAAGCAAATGAAGGCGTAAGCCCTCGAGGAGAAAACAATGGGCTACAAAAGACATTTTACGAGATAATCAGATTGTTTGTTTTTACACTGGTACATCTTAGTTCTTACTGCAACTTTTCAGCTTTAAATAATGGCTATAAAAAACGCAGGTGAGATGTACACACGTTAAGAACAACAATGTAAACTCACCACCAAAATAAATTCCGATTGCCAAGGCGGCTCCTAAAAGAAACATCATCCCGACGACTGCCATGACAACACAACATCGTCGGGAACTTTTGGCCGATCCTTCCCCTGGGTATTCCGAAAACCCATTAGTGTTGGACACTATAATAAACAAGCAATATACGATTCGATTAATTCTAAAATTACTTAATATATTAACTGCTGTTTAATATGCAATGAGTCAATACTATTATTGTAACATTTAGTGTACCTACTGAGATCTAAAAAATAACAAAGTCAAGAATTTTTTTTCTTTTTTTTATATTATATAAGTTGTTTTTTAGTTTTTTTAGGTTTTCTTTTTTATCAATTTTGATAAAAAATGCACAAGCATTGTCTTGTTATAAAATAAAACTTATTTATAGGACTTTGAGGAATTCAGAAAAAATCAAACGCATATCTTGTCTGAAAATATTTGAATACCATGCATTTTTATTCTATTATTTGCAAAGCTGAATATTAACATGTATATTAGCAATAAAATAATTATGATTAAACTTTTTAATGTTAATTAAATACCGAAATTATATTCATCTTCAATGTTTTGTAAAAAGCACGATTTACATATTCACCAAATAATTATATATCTTTCAATCATAATCAGTCAGAGAAAGTTCAAGTATTATTTATGAATTTCTGCCTCTATCGTTATGAATACAAAATAGTTTTATAATACACAAAATTAAATTGTTTGCACCAAAAACAAAGAAAATTAACTCCATGCTAAGCATTTAATTTAAGGCATTTAAACAGTTGTGTACAAACGAATTAATATAACAGAAAATCAATTCAGAATGTTCCCTCTCAAACATCATATTTCCATCGTTACTTATAAATTTACTCTATAAATAATATCTATAAGTACAGTACACAGAACATATACAGAACATATACAGTATAGACAATTTTTTTTTATCTTTCAGAACGTTCCGTGAAACATGCATAATTTAATAAGCAATAATGTTTTTTGTGTTTTTCATTTGAAAATATATCTGACTTCAAAAACTATTTATGTTATATTACGATGGAACCACTAATGGCACTAAACAATCTTAAACATTCATATCGTCTATTGAACAGTTCATTATCAATGACAATCCTAAATGAATATGACGTAGAATTCAAAAAGAGTTTAAATAGGGCCATAACTCTGCCTAAATCCTTGCTTTGGGCTTTGGACGATAACCTCCAATTATGCTTCAAATAAGTGTGTGAAGTTTCAACCATTCCCTTTTGTAGTTTTGGAGATACTAACTTTCACGCATAAAATTAATCAAAAAGTGACGCCAACGCTTGCTTTAGTGTAATAATTCTCCCTATCCTTCGAATAATCGAGCTAATAATAATAATAATAATAATAATAATAATAATAATAATAATAATAATAATATCCTTTTCCATTTAAGTGTAGCATTGGAATAAGATCACCCTGAGAAATAAATATAAATGGATTTTGAGAGAGAGGGGAAAGGGACGGACGCGAATTAAAAAGTTTTCTCAAAATATATCGGTGTCTTACGTGGTTTTAATTTATAACTGCCTCCTCCACTAATTCCTTGTTTGTAACCATGATAACCGGCGTTATCAAACATATTTCCTGCATAGTGACCTCGTCCTCGACCTCGGGAACGGTCATCTTGGATGGAATAAAAGGCGTCATCTTGTCTGGCATAAGCCATATTGTCCGAAGACCAGTAACCCCACTGGCAAGGGGCGTAACCACGGTTATATACACCACTTGCCCCGTTTGAGTGGTCCTCGTAACTGTCACGATAGTGACGGTGGGGATCCTGAAAATAAAATAAAGTGACATTTTAAAACTTGATGCATCAATTATTTACACACTTACTTTAGTGTGTAGGAACTTGCAATATCAAATATTTTTACGGTTTTCGAAGCCGATTTATATATGTGATTCTTATTACAGAAAAGGCAGATCTTGCGGAAGTGAAATATATCATGGGAAAAGTTAAAATGGGTTTGACAAAGTGTGCCATTATACCCAAATACATACCAGCCCATAAACAGAAATCATAACCAATTACTATTTTTCTTCTACTGGTACAAGACACCAAGTGAAGCAATGTCCCAACGAACTAAAGCATTTGAAGAAAAAACAACTAAAAAAATCAACAAAATAAAACTTATGGGTGATTTTTACGGCCGCCACCTAGCATGTAACAATGGAAAGACGGCAAGAGGTATATCTACTGGACTCTTCCGGACTGAACAAACAACGTACATTCGATTTTAGTATATGTGGCGGCATACGCTATAAGATGATTAGTTCTGGCTTCCATAACTTTATATGTCGCTTTTATTTTGACGTTGTACGACAGTAAAGAACAGGTCTAGCAGTACTATAAAACCAGTTCGCTAAAGTCTCTTTAGCTATTAGATGATATGCCTGTACATGTACACCATCTGTTATTGAGCTATGACTGTGTGCCTTGAATATCTGCTTTACTTTGTTTCATACCTTGTATCACGAATCAGCCATTGTTTGTATTTAGCGTAAAAATGTTCAAAACCCTACACAAAAAAAATGTTTTCGAACAAATCAAACAAAATGAGGTTCATGTCAACACAACCATAGAAACGCTTCTGGTTTTTTTTCATGTATTGCGGATACATTCCTTTCAAATATGTCGAAACTCCAATTTGAATTGTCATACATTTTGACATTGTTTCATGCGACCAGCTATTAATGTTTAAAATAGTATCAAGTTATACATACAAAATTGCCTATATCGCCTTACTTATTACATATTTCAGACAACAAAAAAAGTCGTTTATTTCACGTTTATTTCACAATGATACTTTTAGAGAAAACGCAGTATATTAGGTGTACAGTTAAGGGTTCGAAATAAAACGAGGTCATGATCGCAACATGTAAAGGGAGGGGGGTCAATGTGAGAATTTGAAATCGTGTATTATCACAAATATTTTATACCACTGTAGCTATCTTTGTTTCAAATAGATTGATTTTTATTTATTATGCAAAATTAATTTCCGGTTTGAAAACAAATGACAATCACATAGCTTTTTATTTTCCATATCAACGAACGTAAACAAAATGCTATGTACGAAACTAGAAAAAGCGTGAACACCGGTAAATTGTTGATGGCTTCATTTTTGGCGAAATTCGACGAAATTTCGGCGCGTCATGTTCAGAGCCTTTTGGCAGCTAATCTCCGCATTTCAGTGCCATTGAGCAGCTAACCTTTGCTTTTCAGAGCCTTTTGACAGCTGCATAAAAAGAAGTTACTAGTATATCTCTTCTGTAAGATACGGTGGCACAATGGTGACACGTGTGTGTCTTTATTTATCTCGTGCGTACGAGATACTATGTCATGGCCACGAGTCACTAAGTTGTAGCCACGAGATAGTTAAGTCGTGAAGTCGTGGGAACGAGATACTATGTCATGGCCACGAGCTACTAAGTCATGGCCATGAGATAGTTAGGTCGTGGGGACGACATTTACGGCCTCGACATTTTTTAGCAGAATCCCCCTCGATGTCGCCCCTCATAAATAACTCGTTTCATATACAAGAACTATTACTTATTTTGAATTACTAATTACGAATTACGATATGAATTCGAAATGTTTTTAGTATCAAATATAAGGTCACAAAATAGATAGCGCCTCAAAAAGCTAACCAACAAGTGGAAAAAGTGTTTAAAATATCTTTTGTCGAGTGGATAAGGTGGTTGGGAAAGTGACGGCCCCCAATCCTCATCCCCATCCCCAGTGAGGAGCAACCTCTGGCCATGACCTAAAACAATATTGCCTGCTAAAACGATGTACAATCTAGTCCGCAAAGTATACAGAAACCGTGTAAATGAGGGACGATTTCTTTACAGTTTGATATAATAGACCTACTTTTATTCAAATATAAACACATTTGAAAAATAAAAGAAATAAGATATTTTTATAAACGACCTTTTACATTGTAAAAAATCACGAATTGTTCTATAAACAGGATATTGAATATGAAACGAAATACCTGTTTGTTCTCCTTTAAAGATTCCACTTTAAATAATAAGATATCAATGACTTTTAGTTGTTATATTTTCCAAATTTGCAATCGAATGAAAATGAATCGGCATCACGATTTCAGATTCTGATTATCGAATCGATGTTCTAAATGTTTCAAGTTTAAGCACTCGTACACAGGACCACGACTTAAAGTCTCATCCGAAAGACTTATTAGAAATTTAAGTTGGCCAGCCCGTGAATCGAACCCACAAAGTGTCGAAATTACAACTATCGCGCGCTATGCGCAACACTTACAGATAGAGAAAAGTCACAGATACTTACAAACCATCAATCGCCCAAGGACTGAAAGGAGACAAATTGGTTGGTAACATTACAGATGCGCATGTGCATCAATTTCACTTTAATACGCTTCAGTTAATAATAGGGAGGAAATATTCTGTTGCCGAAAATATGTTAATTTGTCGTGTATTTGTATGAAATTACCTGACGCAATTCAAGCAGTTAGAACCAATGTTGAAAATTAAACCATCAATTTTGTCCATGACTTTGAATACAACAATTTAGATTTATTACAACAAAAACAAAAAACACAAAAAATATATAATAAACCACGAAAGAATTAGCGTACTTCTCTAAATCACTTTAAAACCGTCGGGATTTTCATCTATATATATTTTTTTCAACGAAAGCTAAATAAATCCGCTTATAATGTTTTACAATATTTTGTCATTATTCATTTATATGCATTTGGCGACATTTGATCATCCAATATATCAATGAGATTTTAACAGTCAAATATAATTTTTGCCAATAATCAAAGTGCATATACACGCAGCAATGACTAAATGCACATGTTTCGTTTATTCTGGAACTTATTTTTCTGAAACACAAATTCAAAGTTAAAAGTTCTGGGTGGCGACAGTAACGTATGTTACATTTTATGGCATTAATGGTACTTGTAAAAGAAAACTAAAGGATAGAAATGTAAAACTGAGAGAGTCCTTATAAGACAAAGTGGCAGCCACCTTTCTAACGACATTTTGACCTCAAGAAAAACCTCCGTATAGGAGCTTCCCAGTGGAACATCAAATGCTGTGTTTCATTGAGAATGAGCGATATACATGTATATCATTGGTTTTTTTTTCGTAATATGTTTGTAAATTGTTCATACTTTGCCTCTTTCATTGTCATATGAAGATCATGTAAGCTCTGTGAGGTCATTGGGAATCTATGGTTGTATCACCTGTGGGTCAAATTTTGTGAGGAACACACACAAAAGTTTGATTAATCATTTCTATTAAACAACTGAAATTGTTGTAAAACACCCACCATCACCCACTTTAATACAATTCCATCAAAAAACATAATTGAGATAAACTTGTATTCTAGGATCTAATTGGCTCTTTTTTGTTGTCATTTACAAAGTTTTACATAGCATTTTAAGTCTATTATAGCATTCGGCACGATATGGCCAGTTATGTGGTGACGTGCCGTAAAAATCCAAACAAACAAACAAATGCATTTCTATGACGCAAGTTGCATACTTATTCATGTTGTTGTGTAATAATCAAAGGGAAAGAAGCCACTCAGTCATATCTTAGATATATATAGAGTTAGTCCCCTGTTTGGAGTTCGGATGCGAGGAATTATATCACGAGGGCGTAGCCCGAGTGATATAATGATGCGCATCCGAACGACAAACAGTGATGTTATCAAGCGATAAAATCACTGCTTTGGATATATTATTTCGATTCTAACACGACAGTAACAAACAAATGTTGCGGTACATGATAGTTAAGCAAAATTCCGTCTGATTTGTTTCCGAACTTATTTTCAGCGCGTCGGATTTTTAGTGGTTACGTCACGTGTATAATGATTACGTCACATGTCTAAATATAGAACGTCAAACTGTGCATCTGTTGCATAATAACACACACTTTCTGTTCTTCTATGTTCAATAGGGAAAAATGCTGGTCGTGTTAGAATTGAATTTTTGTCTTGAAGGAAATCACATGAGCTCAAAAGTTCTACGAATTAAAAAAAAATGAGAGAAAAAAAACAAACAAAAAAAACAACAAAATATTAAGTGAGAAAATAACCTGAAAATTTGTAGTCCAGGCCAACAACAAATTGGTACCCAAATCTTGGGGAAATATTTCCTTTTATGTAAAAAAATCCTCAGTGGAGTTTGTTTGACAGATTCATTGAAGACAGTTCAGAAGTTGCTGTGCCCTATAAATGAAACCCTGCTACATTTTCAAACTAGTTTTATGAAATTATGTAACATTTTTGAAATTTCAACGAAATTTTTACCTTTCATAACTGTTTGTGTTTGTCTGGACTTTTTAAAATCGGAAATCTTAAGAAATTTTACTTCCTTTTTCATGCACTAGTTGTCATTTTTCAATTCCCAACTTTTTGACAGTTATCTCCATTTCTGTGTGATTTTCTATGTTTTATCCTTTGTATAGATTTTTGTAATGCATGTAAACAGGATAATACTTTTACAAAGATATGTATGTTCTGCTTTCATAACATTGCATTCTTAAGACGTGTTGGTTTTTTTTGCTTCATTAATAGCGATATTTATGTACCCGGTACGTTTATTGCAAATATAGAATATATTAATTTAGTCAACCATGACCATGTTTAGATTTTATATAACAAACTTTTGTAGCCTTGACATTCAATATTAAATTGTCAAAATAACTTTAAGACCCTACACTGTAGACTAGTTCCCGCCCGACGGAAATATTTTTCTATTATTATATTAATAATAATAATAATAATAATAATAACAATAATGACAATAACAATAATTAAAATAATAATAATAATAACAATAACAATAATAAAAATAATAAAATCTTTATTTAACGAAGGTAATTGGCAGGTACAAAAAACTAACCCTTTGATAAAAGTGTTTAAGAAGCAAACATTATTATAATAACCAAAATCATATCATAATCTATAATTGTCAATTAGTATTTATAATTATCACAGGGCTACAGCATATATGTCAGTGCATACAATTTCTCATAAAAACAGAACAACGATTGATACCATTACAAAATAAATTTCCGTTTACCAACCATTTTTAAATGAATGTGAACAATTGTAATTTACCAAGGACCAAACATCTTCTATCATCAACTTAAAAACAAAATATTTGATTTGGCTCATTCAATACATAATGTTAATGCGATGAAGCATCTGGGCAATTATAAAGGTTTCCATCTTTTTCTTGGAAGACTGTGTTCTGTACTTCTATTCTAGAAACCACATACCCATCTGCAAACATATCATATTCATGCATTATTTTCTTCTGGACGCCCAGACGCATTAAAGCACCGCAATATTGATTGGCAAATACTTCAGATTGTTCTCAAGAACATAAGGCATGCTTAACTTTGCTGTACTTTATGTAAATAGTTCTGACGCCCTTTTCTACAGGGACTCCATTTATCATGAAACTTTTGTTCTCCTTTTATTTCTCAGGTATATATGACACTGTGAAGCATACAAACTGCTAGCTCTTAAATACTCTGTGGAACTGTCTATATTTGGGTCTACATCAGTATAACTGTCAATCACTTTTCCTGATGCTTAAGCCAATGAGAAGTCCTTCACACTGTCCATGTTACTTTCTCCGTCCGGGAAATAGTAACTAAGCGCTTGATTTCTTATTCTTTCTACTGCCAGACTTTCCCCAAACGTGTAATTCATCATTCGTGCATATCCACCTTTTGCTTCAGTATCAAATCTGTTCTTTCAATCACATTTTTAATATATATGCACTGCTTTGTCCTCTGCCTTTCTTCACAGCAGTTGCCTAAAATATATTAGAGCTTTTATTTTAACAACCAATTTCATACCATTTTGGCCTAGAGGGACATACACTATGTGACAGTTGATAGTTTCAGGAGTATATAAATAATTCTGAGGGTGTCACAGTTGATAAAAATATTTTATTGTTTGTAGGTTCACTTCAAGTTGTAATAAAAAGGGTGTCCTACAAATACACAAAAAGCATAAATAAGCAAAATAATAAAAGCAAAATAAAGAGCAAACATTAGCAAGCATAAGCAAACAAAAGCAAATTAATTGTAAATAATTTCAAATGTAGATAAATGTTTACTTATGAAGCTGTATTCTAAAAATTATAAAAACTCAAGTCAGCTGAGAAACAGCTGATTCAGAATGGTATGGAAAATATCTGGATCAAAATGAATTTAACCATAATTTTACATAACCAAATTAAAAAGGACAAAGGACAGGGACAACCTGGGATTTACCTGACTGTAAAGTAAAGATGAGTTCAAACAAAATGTAGATCTATCAAGGATGGCTTGAGACCATCCTTCTCAAACAATTTCTCTGACCAAAGTGAATATTTTTTACAAATCCCGCCAAACGTGAAAAAGTGAGATGTTATTTATTTGTTAGCCAATGAAACTTGTTAATTTTGACCTCTCACACAAAGGTTAGTGTTTATTATATTTAGTTGTCATGAAATTTTAATGATTGAAAGGGATGAGGCCACTAAATTTAGGTCAGACTCATCTATATAAATTCCACACTGTAACATTCTCCCCTGCTTTAAAAAATGACTCCTGGCATTTTAATTGCAATCTTTGTTAAAATCATCAACAAAGAGACATGAGTATTCAGATAACAGTCATACATATAAATTATTACTACATCAGTTACTTTTCACAGTAGCTAAGAAAAACAAACAAAATAATTAAAAACAACAGTTTTTTTTTTTTAAACTAGACAATATCCTGGATGAGAACTACTTATTTATGTTGTCTTAAGAACAACATTACCAAACACTTACATCTAAGCTAACTAAGTACTTGCAAGCTTTCTTCCCTATCTAATCTCATCCAGTTTAGAGATTTAAACGTCTTCTATTCAAAACAGCAGCAAGGCATACAGTTATATACATTATGTGGAAAATGTTCACCAGTTTCCAGAATTGAAAACAATACACATTAAAAATAAAAACTAATAAAAGATATGAATAAAATAGCTCCATGACATTTGTCTTTGTAAAGATACTGTAACATTCTCCCCTAACTCCAATTTAAACAAAAACTTCAAGGTCTGTTTCTGCCGATTGTTGATACATCACATAGTCTCCAAATCTTGCTGGCCTGTTGCGATTTCTAACAGGTCTTGATGGTATGTTTGGAGTATCAA